ACTATGGAATGCAATTAAGCCCCTGCAGCTGAGTGCATTTAGAGCACAACTGCTAATCTGGAGGGAGATTTGATAAGAAGGAAATAGAGTATTACTCTTCAGAAATTCTTGCTAACCTGATCTTCAATATCATATTTTAACAAATTTACCGAGCCACTTAGCCTGCAGCGCTAGCAGCCCGCCGTGCACTGAACTCAGGGCTGTGGGTGGCACACTCGTGAATCGCGTGAGGGCCAGTGAACTCAGCACGCTGGGGGAAATCACTTAGCTGCTGCTCTCTGTAAACACTGGCCTTTTATTTGAAGGGGCCAGATCGCATCCCCCTTCTCCATGGTAGGAGGATTAGCATTTTGGTGCAGCGCACACAGCCATATGCAGGGCTGGATTCTCCCCATGCAAGCCTACAAGTGCCGTCAGTCATTTGCTCAGCTGATGAAATCCATCAGCTCTGTTCTGTCACTTTAATCTGTTCTGCTCAGTTGCGTCAGACCAGCCTAATTTCCAGGCAGAAATTTTAGCATTTCAGTTCCAAATTTTCTCAACAGAGTTTTCTGAAATCTATCAAGAAATTTCACGCTGCCATGCTTGGATTGTTTGGCCGGTGCAGGCAGGGCCAATGCACAGGGGTATTGTGTGCACTGAAAGTTCGCATCTGCAAGAGCTGAGGAGGGGACACTAAGCCTGGGAGTATGTACAGCTGGGCGCATACTGTAATTAGAGCTATTTCTGGCTGGTCATTTGCAAAGAGACAGTGGTGAGTGGAAGTGATTTCCATGGGAATGTGAACACCAGTCTGAATTACTCAGGGAAATTGGAAAGGTGCATGTGCGCAGGTGCAGGTCCACACATTTGATTGGGTGAATTTGCCATGTAGATCATTGGCAGCTGTTTCTGCCGTTCGTAGTGTCTTTTGTCCAGCTGGCTGGTGTGCAATATATCAGAAAACCACAAGCGCAATAGTATTTACTGAAAAAGACACTCCGCTTTCGAGAGCCAATATTGTCAGCTTTGCTCTGAGCATAGTGAGGCGTAGTTTCTTTCTGCATTGAACTGCCTTTCTCCTCCAAACACATCTCTTCCAGTTATTTAACTGGAGAGCCCATTCTGACATGGGAAACAGTCACAGAATCATAGAATCGTAGGACTGGAAGGAACCTCATGAGGTCATCTAGTCTAGTCCCCTGCACTCATGGCAGGACTAAGTATTATCTAGACCGTGTTTGTCTAACCTGCTCTTAAAATCTCCAATGATGGAGATTCCACAACCTCCCTGGGCAATTTATTCCAGTGCTTAACCACCCTGACAGTTAGGAAGTTTTTCCTAATGTCCAACCGAAACCTCCCTTGCTGCAATTTAAGCCCATTGCTTCTTGTCCTGTCCTCAGAGGTTAAGAAAAACAATTTTTCTCCCTCCTCCTTGTAACAACCTTTTACATACCTGAAGACTGTTCTCATGTCCCCTCTCAGTCTTCTCTTCTCCAGACTAAACAAGCCCAGTGTTTTCAATCTTCCCTCATAGGTCATGTTTTCTAGAATTTTAATCATTTTTGTTGCTCTTCTCTAGACTTTCTCCAGTTTGTCTGCATCTTTTCTGAATTGTGGCACCCAGAACTGGACACAATACTTCAGTTGAGGCCTAATCAGCCTGGAGTAGAGTGGGAGAATTACTTCTCATACACCATTGCAAATCCTAGCTCTTTGGGAAACGCCCTATAGACTTAATAGAGAATGTACACATCTGTACGAATCTCTGTTAAGTTCTGTAGGTTTTTGATGTAACTTGTATAGAATCCTACAGTTTTATCCCTGTTAACTTCTACGGGACTTTTCTATAAGGAAGCTAATGAGATTTCGCTGGTCTATTCACTCATTACTATCAATATGCACAGTGCAGAAAAGGAAGGAGTTGGTGGTTCAGAGGCTGGGTGGAAAGAGGGCTGGATAGAGGGGTCAGAATAAATGGAAGAGTGGAGAGTCGTGGTTATCAGACAGAGATGGCTGGGTTGTAGGAACTGGCCTGAAGGAGACATACCGGGGGAAGGGATGGGGAGGGGCCTGGATGCAGGGAGTCCATGGAGAGCAAGGAGTCACGCTGCTGAGTCTGAATTGGATTTTGAGAGATCAGAGCAGCTGCGGCAGTTGATGGAGTGTGGGGATAGTAGGGTCCCACCCCTAGAGCAAGGAACCAGTCTGGCTACAACATTTGGGCTCCCTGATGCCTAGAGACTGCGGATTAGGAAGATCAGGCAGGGGAGTGGTGCATGGGGGAGCTGGCAAGGCACAGAGGAATAAGGGGCAAGTCAGATGCTAAGAAGGGTGACAGTGTCCCAAAAGGGATGAACGTCTGAATTCCAGCCACAGGAGATGTCAGGCGCAGACCGCAGGCTAGCATTCTTCACAGGAGGAACCATCAGCTGGCAGCCTTGCCTGGCGAGCCCCTGGGCATCTGTGTAAACATGCTGACAAAGCTTTAATTGCCATTTAATTGTCGCACATGGCCGTTAAAACGGGAGCGGATTTGATAGTCCGCAGCGATTGTATACACACATGCCACTGCTTTCTGCTTCAGTGCAAAGCAGTGTCTGCATGTCAGGGACTTGGCGCCTACTGGGCGTGCAGCATTCTGCGGGTGTGGGGGGCCTTGTGCTTTGCTTTGCTGCTGGGCGCTGTGCATTGTGGGATGCAGAGTGGAAGCCTGCCAGAAGCGACTGGAAATCTAGGACTCAGGATCACAAAGCTCAGCAAAAGAGGTTGTTTGACAGCAACCCCGTTTACCACAGGGGGACCGGGGTGGGGTGGGGGACAGGACAGTCACCTAGCAAACCTCTTTGCCAAAAGAACTCTTGTCTTCAGTACGATAAGGCAGCCTTGGGCCCTTCTGGCAATATGGACAACTCTAGCCATCCATCACCAGCTTGCAAAGCCTTTCAGCTCAGAGCTGGTTCCTGGACCATGCACCACACCCAAAAGGAATTCTATGGCACAGGGAACTTAGTCTGCTAGGCCGTCATGTCGGGAAACATGAGCACACCGTACACGTAAAGCCACGGATGGCACTGAACAGTCTCAGACACAAGGCAGTGGCAAGTTCACCTAGCTGGGCCTTGTCTAGCAAACATCTCTGCTTGCAGTTGTCCACTGGGGAACCCCACAGGAGGGCGGCTTGCCTGTACGCTGCTAGGCAGCAGCAGTGTTGCTGCGGTTGTGGACCCCAAGGGGCTGGTAAAGAACCGTTTCAAGTTATTTTCTCACCCTATGTTTGCACTGAAAACAGTTTCCCATGTGAAGGGCCTGATCCTGCAAGATGCTGAGCAGCCTCACCTTGCATTAAAGCCAATGGGAGAGGTGGGCAACGCAGGGGCTCCTCTCAGGGGATGCTCAGCGCCTCGCATAATCATGCCCTGGTATTATTTTACGAGTTCTAGCCCACTGCTGAGTGACCACCCCTCCCCTGCTAATTACCCACTCAAGCACTACAATAATCATGAACCTGTGGGGGCAACTTACGCCCAGCTAAACATCCCAGTGTGGTTGAGAGAGAGAGTGTAGCTGCAAAGTTTAAAAATCAGAAAGTTGAACTGAAAATAAAATGGGCGTTTTTGTTTTATTTTATGCCCAAAACATTTAAATTTGTGCCAATTGCAAACGCTGAAACAATGAGCATTGCTCTGACGCTTGGCACTGATACCTGATATAAACCCCGTGCACTGGGGACCTGTTTCCTGACTGCCTTGCCCCTTACTTACCTCGCTGACTCCTGCACAGAGTGGGCGTTGAATGGCACCATTCTGGCTGGGAGATGTGTCACACACACATTACACAGGTGCCAATCACTACATGAAGTACAAGGCGGCGGCAGCCAGGCCTCTGGCATGCTGGGTGAGGCAGGATGTTGCACAGTTGCTCTTTCTGTAGCTGGGGGGTAAATTTTCCAGCTGATAAATAAACGTTCTCAAGCCAGGAGCCACAAGAGAAGAGCAGAACCCGCCCTGGCCGTGAGAAGAGACCCACGAGTTCTCTTCCTGTTCCTGGGAGCGTACTGCCCTGCCAGCCCTGCCCAGCACAGCGTGTGTGTGACCTGGAGGCACTCTGTGCCCGGTGTACAGCAAAGGTCATCAGCCAGTCTGGTACCCAGCAGATAAGGTTCAAAAGATGCTCTAATGCACATACTGAGCCCATGATTCAAAACCTTCTGGTTTGCGACATTAATCTTTGGCTTGGGCCACATGAGCCAGGCATTTACTTCTCCATTTTCTTAGATATAAAAGCTATCTGGACTGCAGCTGCATTTTACAATATGATAATATGCTATCCAGGAAAGTCTTGCTACATGTTAATTTATCCAGTAGGCAAATTCCTTTTGGCTAATAAAAGTGCTTGCGCAGGAAGCTCAAAACCCAGCAGCAATTAATTATTGACAGAGCATGTGAATTAGAGATAAAAGAAAAGTCATTCTTCCTCACACACAAGATAGTAAATAAATTTAATTATTGTACTAGAAACAGGGGATCTTATTCTGTATTAAGTTTTATTAGCTGAGACATTTAAAAGCATGTCATCATAATAAAAAGGTCTTGTGTAATCCTAAATGCACCACTTTGGTACAAGGCTTTGAAGTGTATAGACTTAATTGAGCAAATGGTAGCAGATGGCTTGCTGTACAGACAGGTATTGTACAGGTTTATTGTCAATTAACTCTTGTCTACATATGCCTATGGCAAATTGACTGTATAATGTGTTACTGAGACTGGCTTTAACACTTGATGTACTTGCCTTCCCCGGGTTCTGAAGCCAAAGGACACTAACCGGCATTAGGTCTCCAGAGATTATGGGGTAGCTAGTGTCACTCCCTCGAGGGGTGCCCTCAGTCTCACTGGGACACGGGCTTCAAACTCACTGCGCATGGCCAGAGGGGAACCCACATGCCTGAGTTTCCTTGGGAGCTGGATTCCTACTGCAGAACTAAGCTCTCTCTCTCCCTCCTGTTCCTTTCTCTACAGGAATGTGATGCCCAAGACTCTGGATGGACAAATAACGATGGAGAAGACACCGAGCTATTTTGTGACCAACGAGGCCCCAAAGCGCATTCACTCCATGGCCAAGGACACCAAGCTGATCGTGGTGGTGCGGAACCCCGTCACCAGGGCCATCTCAGACTACACGCAGACGCTCTCCAAGAAACCTGAGATCCCCACCTTCGAAGTACTCGCCTTCAAGAACCGGACCCTGGGACTGATCGATGCCTCCTGGAGCGCCATCCGCATTGGGATCTATGCGCTGCACCTGGAGAACTGGCTGCAGTATTTCCCACTTTCCCAGATCCTCTTTGTCAGCGGCGAGCGGCTGATTATTGACCCAGCTGGGGAAATGGCCAAGGTCCAGGATTTCTTAGGCCTCAAAAGGATTGTGACAGAGAAGCATTTTTATTTCAATAAAACCAAGGGGTTTCCTTGTTTGAAGAAGCCAGAGGACAGCAGCGCCCCCAGGTGCCTGGGCAAATCCAAGGGTCGAACTCATCCCAAAATAGACCCAGATGTTATCCACAGACTGCGCAAGTTTTACAAACCATTCAATGTCATGTTTTACCAAATGACAGGTCAAGATTTCCAGTGGGAACAGGAAGAAAGTGATAAGTAAAGCCAAGAGAGCAGGGGAAAAGCTATCTGCTATCTAGAGGTGAATCGTTGTCAGAGACACTAAACTCACACAGGGCTAAAGTCTCAGTCTTGTGACAAAGAGACTCTTGCAGCGTCAAGGTTAAAGTCAAGCTGAACAGCATTTCTAGCTCTGAAACCTTCATGTCACAGCGAGTACAGGTTGCATTTGGGTCTGTTCCAAGCCCTCCCACTGTATTGTATTGCAAGAATTGCTGGGGGAGGCTCCAGTGGGACAGGGGAGGCTACCTGTTTCTAGCACTTTGTTCCTGGTGCTTCCTGTCAGCGCCAGATAGTCAGTGTTCAGTGAGTCCTACCCGCGGCCAACAAAGGATGAGGGAAGCTTATAGAATCCCAATAGCGACAAGGCAAGCCGACAGATTCAATTTCTTCTGCACTACTTTAGTTTTGCCTTGCTGGCAGTCAGGTGGTATCAGATCACACACACACACACAGCAAAGCTGCAAAGAATCTATTTACAGATACTTTACTTGTATACTAGTTACACCTTGCACTAGCTACCATTTACCAAGTGCCACAGATATCCTGAGCCCGAGTCTTTTCTCACTTCTGAGTGTAACTCCATTAACTGAATAGAGTTGCTTGTGATTTCCTCTGGTCTGCAGTGAGACAGAATCCAGGCTTCCTCTCTAAGTCCTCATATGCTCCTTTAGATGATCACGCGCTAAAAACCACTGCCATGCACTGGCACCTAAGAGCCAGCTGAGAGTGTTCTCATGGGATCCATCCCAGAAAGCTTGGCCTGGACGCATGGCATAGTCGCCTAGCAGAAGGTGCAGTGTCCCACTCACAGCTCTTCCTGCAGGCAGGGAATGAACTGGCATTTCTCAGTCATTCTGGAAGCCCCCTGCTTCCCCGCAGAGCAGATGGCAGTTGAGGTTGTCATTACAGGCGGCTTTTTAGTTCTTTGCAAGGTGGCCATTAGCCCAGAAGGAGAATCCTCTACTGAGTAAAACCTCATCGCAGTATCTAGAGTGGTGTGCAAAATCCAGACACAGGCCAGACTTTCAAACACGCTGAGCAGCTGCAAATGCCACTGGAGTCCCTGGGGCTGTGGGTGCCAACCCGTGGGGCTATGGGTGCCAGCCGGTGGGGCTGTGGGTGCCAACCCGTGGGGCTGTGGGTGCCCAGCACTTCTGAAAATCCAGACTCAGCTGGGTTTGCAAAACCATGAAATAGTCTTCATCTTTGCTCCAAAATCTGCAAGAGAAGAAAAGGTCATTTCCACTGAGCGAGTGCTCACTACCCTGGAGAAAGCTTCATTTCCAAGTGGAAATGACAAAGGTTTATGATCAACCAAATTGGCAAATCCCGATGGAAACTATAAGATAAGCACCCATCACTCCTAGAATCTCAGCAAAACCGAAGCGAGCTGCAGGCCTGGATTAGCAAAGACAAGGTAGCGGCAGTTTGACACAGCTGCACTATATTCCATGTCTGTTACGGAGAAAAACCCAGTAACAGTGGGCATGAAAGGAAAACACTATGTTACCTGTGAGGGAACATTTCCTTCCTTGGGGTGATTTCTTGCTGTCTGGGGCTTATTCTCTTTTCTTTTCCTTTTATTAACTGTTTAAAAAGAGCAGCAGTGGGGCCTGCTTTTGCAGGGGGAGGGAGGAAGGTGTTTTATTTTTGTCAAGCCTCAGTGCTCCTTTGAGATGTTGCGTTTGTTGCTGTTTCAAAGCAGCAAGTAAACGCAGCTTATGCATACCTGAGCAAGACCAAGGCTCGGTTTTGATTAAGGTGGCAAGAAATCCTTGTTGATCCAACTAACCAAAGGAAATGTCACTAAAACACTGTTAAGCAAGGTAAGAAGCTGAACCTGCTTTGGGTTTCATGGCCTGTCATGTGGTTCATTACACAATAAAGTGGGGCCAGTGCTTTGGATTGTATAAAAGGAGCTAAATTCATTTGTCAGTTTTCGACTGTGGGCCAGGTTTGGGGAGCATCACATTCGTTCCCGCTGAAGTAAATGTCAGTTCAGATTAGCCTGATTAGGTTTTAAAACAGCGTCTGACAAAACGCTTTCTCACCGACCTGCAAACCCAGAAATATATTGTACAAACATTGGAAATATGTAGTAAGGGGGGACATTCAGTTGTTTCAGATGTTATTAAAACGTCGTTTCTTCTGCAAAATGAAAGCTGGGTTGTTAGACCATTTGGTGCAAAATGATTCCTGGCTTCAGAGGAAGGGCATTTTTTTTAAATCTTCCCAGTTTCTAGGGTCCTGCTGACATGGACACCCCAAGTCTTTTCTTATTTCACATGCCCTGCAAACCCGGAACTCGTTTTGGTCTCACTCCTGCCCGATGCTGAGCCCCGCCTGGAAATAAGCGGTTGCCCGTCCGCCCAGGGGAGATGATGGAACTGAGGGCACTCAGCACCTGGCAGGATCAAGCCCTTTCAACTAATCTTTGCAAAAGAGGATTAAAAAGTTTATTTTCCTGACCGTGGTTTCACTTGCAGTCAGAACAGTGGCACGTGAACCACAGCTGCTGCTGGGGCAGCCGGCCCAGCCCTTAGCAACAACCTGTGCCAGGGGGAGCTTTTCGTTCCCACACGAGACCCTACTGAGCTCAGAGGCCCCCATAGGAAACCTCCCCCAGACCGCACCAAAAATGTTCTTTGCGTATTTCAAAAGCCAGAGTGTTGCACTGCTCCCTCGTCAGGGGCCACCGGGGATCAGCCAGGGCAGCAGGGGCGGAGGATTGCTTGTGGTCTTTGGCTGCTCTTTTCACAGGTCCATTCCTGGAAGGAAAAGAGACTTGAGGAAAGACCCTGCCTGTGCGTGCTGACGCTGGAGTTCTGCGGATTGGTGAAAGCTTTCAGCCGGTAGCTGGGCAGGAGAGGTAGCTGGATCCAGTACAGTCACCCTCAGCCCGTTTGCTGTATTCCCAGAGCAGCAACGAAATGTTGACCCAGGATTCAGACAGCAGCGTGTGGCCATGGCAGGCTGCCTGCGCTTAAGTCTCCATCCCTTCGCCACCCTCTGGAAGGAGCTTGCTTCACCCCAGCCAGCTCGCCCGCCCAGAGGCGAGCAATGGAAACGGTTACAAAGCTGCGTGTTCTCGCAGTGGCTTGCTCTGGAGGCAGGTGCCATTTGGCTGCGACAATAGCACTGGACCTGTCTGCATCCAGGGGATGCTGCGCCACCGGGGCTTCTTTTTGCCATATTTGAAGAGGTTTATTTTTTATATGGGTGACTTCCCTGCGCCCGAGGCACTGACTGACTCCAGCAAAGGGGATGTGCTGCTCCTGCACTTTTCCAACGGCATTGCTCGTCAGCAGGGCCTGTTCTGGGGCTAGCCCCTGGTGAGCGTTAACGGCCTGCTAAGAAGGCAAGGAGCCAGGAGAAACTCGGGTGCCGGGTGCCGGGGGAGGGTGGCTGTTCACTAGCATCACACAGGATGCTGTTGCTCTTGGGAAGGGCAGGCCTGGCACGTCCGGCCATCAGGAGGCGGTGACATGGCTTTGTCGGCTTGGGTGAGATGGTGACTTTTGTCTCTGCGTGCCCGCATGGTCAGTGACAAGTGTCTGCTTTTGTGATGTGCTCATGTGACCGAGGAGTTATTTTCTCTCCAGCGAGAGAGGGAGCAACCTGCTAGGAGAGAGTTGGGTTAATAACTTTTTTTTTTTTTACTATTTAAATGTCAGCATTACGACACACGGGAGATTGAATTTTGTATTTGATTTCCATTAGCAAAGCATAAATTATATTTAATTTTGTACACAGAGACTGGATGATTCATTGTTATGGAAAAGCAGGTACTTAATGGTTCAGAAATGAAAATGGACAATTTGTCCTTTTGAAACCAAACTGCAGTGCTGTCATCTCCTCCCAAACACACCTGTCTGTATCATTCTGTACCCGAACGATAGGAACATCTGCAAATCTTGAACTTAAAACTTGAACCTAACAGCACTAAACAATAAAACATTGTAACAGCTGCATTTCTCTGCTCCATTTCTCCTTGGTCTCCTCACAGGCATATTCCAGAGTGGCAGGAGTGGCAGGGGTGAGGGGAATTCTCTGCTCTATCCCGTAATCAACCTAATACCATAGAAACAGCTCAGTACCATGCAGGACCCTGGGCCCAGTCAGTCACTTGGGATGCAGGTAGTGGGAGATGTCCCTCTCTTAGTTTTCCATGACCGTGAGCGCAAATCAGATCCAAAAGGACCTGGGAGCAGGAAGAGAACAAACCGCGCAGCTGCTACTGGGGCAGAAAACCCACTTTGCCACTTGGGGGGCTCTGTGCCTTGCTTGGGTGTCCTCGCAGGGCTGAGGGCCTGGGGAGACGGTGTCACTCCCTGGGAAGGACAGAACCAGCAGCCGGGTAAGGCTGCCAGCGTTGTCTGAGCTCTGCCTGCACGTTTCCCTGTGTGAGCTCGTTAATGGCGTGTTGAAAGGGTGTTTGGCTAACTGCAGGAAGACAGTGACTCTCACGCTACATATGACCACAGCTGATGGCTGAGTCACCCCTTCCCCAGTGCTCTGCTGCCCGTCTTTGCTAGGCCTGGACTGCAGCCATGCAGCGACGCCGTCTCCTTTGCAGGGCCCCGCGTGGAACTAGCAAACACACAGGGTGTGTCTCAGGGCTACAGGAGCCTCACGCAGCCGGGCTGGGCCAACCACTGGGAGCCAGGGGCTCAGCCAACAATGGGCATCTCTGCTGTGAATTAGCCACAGACTGGCTGGGATTGTTACGCACTTGTGTCATCTTCTAACCTGCCTTGGAAGGGCATTTCAGCCCACAGGACACTCACAAACCATCCCCCCTGCCCTGTCCCTGTGGGTCTCTGAGTAGCTCAGTGATGGGAGACAGCTCACCCAAGCCACACAGTCCGCAATCAGGCAACCAACTCTTTTAGCAGCAGGAGGAGGGAGGATGATTCCCAGGGAGCTGCACAGAGCTGTGTGTGAATACCCAGTAGGTTGGGGGCTCCTTGCTCTGCACCCACTGCCCCATGTGTCAGGGCCTCTCAGCTCTGCACCCTAGGCCCAGTTGGGGTTGGGGGTTCTTGCTCTGTGTAAACACTCCTGCAAACAAAGTATGCCTTTGCAGACAATGAATGGAATTACAAACACCGTCAATTTATATCAATTTATATCAATTTATATCAATCAGAGGCTCGGAATTGTTGCAAATTGATAAGGGAAGCAAAGGGACACAAGAAGACATCTATGGCCAACAGAGTTAAAGACAATAAGAAGGAGTTTTTTAAGTATATTAGAAACAAAAAAGAATCTCGACAATGGTATTAGTCCACTACTAGATGGAAATGGTAGAATTATCAATAATAATGCAGAAAAGGCAGAAGTGTTAGGTAAATATTTTTGTTCTGTATTTGGAGAAAAAACATGATGTAGTCATATCATATGGTGATAACACTCTTTCCATTTCACTAGTATCTCAGGAAGATGTTAAACCACAGCTACTAAAATTAGCTATTTTTATGTCAGCAGGACCAGATAGCTTACATTCAAGAGTTTAAAAAGAGGTGGCTGAGGAGCTCTCCAGACCAGTAATGTTGATTTTCAATAAATCCTGGAGCACTGGAGAAGTTTCAGGAGACCAGAAGGAAGCTAATGTGCCAGTATCTGAAAAAAGGTAAAGGGGATGACCTAGGCAGTTATAGGCCAGTCAGTCGGATATCAATCCTGGGCAAGATAATGGAGCAGCTGATACAGGACTTAAGTAATAAAGAATTAAAGGGAGGTAATATAGTTAATACCAATCAACATGGGTTTATGGAAAATAGATCCTGTCAATCTAATTTAATATTTTTGATGAGATTACAAGTTTGGTTGTTAAAGGTAAATAGCGTGGATGTAACATATTTAGACATCTTTAAGATATTTGACTTGCTACCACGTGATATTTTGATTAAAAAGCTAGAACAATATAAACTCATCACAGCCCACATTACGTGGATGGGTCTCAAAATGTAATTGTAAGCAGAGACTCACTATCAAGTGGATGTATTTCTAGTGGGGTCTCATAGGGATTGGTCCTTGGCCCTATGCTATTGACCAATTTTATCAATAATCCAGAAGAAAATATAAAATCATCACTGATAACGTTTGCAGCTGACACAATAACTGTGGGAGTGGTAAATAACGAAGAGGACAGGTCATTGATACCAAGTAATCTGGATTTCTTGGTAAACTGGGCACAAGCAAACAATATGCATTTGAATATAGGTAAATGTAAATGTAGACATCTAGGAGCAAACAGGTCGGCCATACTTACAGAGTGGGGGACTCTGTCCTGGGGAGCAGGGACACTGAAAAGGCTTTTGGGGGGCGGGGGTGGAAAATCAGCTGAACTTGAGCTCCTGGTGCAAGGCTGCGGCCAAAAGGGATAATGTGATCCCACAATGCATAAACAGGGGGATCTCGCGGAGGAGCAGGGAGGTGATTTTACCTCCAGGTTTGGCACTGATGCAACCACTACTGGGATCCCATGTCCTGTTCCAGAGCCCACAGTTCAAGAAGGAGGTTGATAAATTGGAGAGGGGTCAGAGAAGAGCCAGTAGAAGGATTAAAAGATTGGAAAACCACCTTAAAAAAGGTGATAGACTCAAAGAGCTCAATCTGTTTAGCGTCACAAAGGGAGCGTGAAGGGGTGACTTGCTCACAGGCTGTAACTTGACATGGGGAACAGATATTTGATAAAGGGTTCTTTAATCGAGCAGAGAAAGCTCCAACACAATCCAATGGCTGCAAGTTGAAGCGAGACAAATTCAAACTGGAAATTTTGCAGTGAGAGTAATTAACAGTGAGTAATTAACCACTACAACAATTTACTAACGGTCATAGTGGATTCTCCAGCACTGAATTTTTCAATCAAGATCAGATATTTTCCTAAGGGTCTGTCTACACAGGAAACAAAAACCCACGGCTGGCCCATCCCAGCTGACAGGTCCATGGGGCTGTTCCATCACTGTGTAGACTTCTGGGCTTGGGCTGTAGCCTGGGCTCCTAGACCCTCCCACCCTGCAGAATCCCAGAGACTAGACACCAGCCTGAGCCTGAATGTCTACACAGCCATGAAACAGCCCCATGGTCTGCGTCAGCTGGTGTGGACCAGCCATGGGGGTTTTTCTTGCTGTGTAGACATACCCTAAAAGCTCTGCTCTAGGAATGATTTGTGGGCAGTTCTCTGGCCTGTGCTATACAGCAGGTCAGATGAGAGGATCACAATGGTCCCTTCTGGCATCAGAATCAGTGAATCAATGTAACAGAGCAACTTCTGTTTGATAGACACGAAGCCAGTTCTTAGTTACAGTGGCCCCTCAGTGCTCCAAGCAGAGTACCCAGTCTGGAGACGAGTGAGGCCAGCAGGGGAGACCCCAGCAGCTCGCAGCAGGCTGGACAGGTGTTTTCATGCTCTAGCCATGGGCATTTAGAGGTAGCATTTAAAGAGCCAGCCAGCAGCCTGGTCTCTGCTCCCATTGCCCTGCCCTACCAGCTCATAGTTGTGGGGAGGGGGGTGGGATCGCAGGATCTGGGTCACAGCCTTTGGCCAGCTCTGAACCCCACAAGGCAACTGTGGTTGCATCTGGGAAGGAAGGGCCCGTGCAGAGCGCTGTCCAGCTCACAGGCCAAGGGCAGCCAAGAGCCAGTAGCAGACAGGGCCCTGATCCACTCTGAACCCTGAGGTGTCAGTGCCCAGCCCTCTGCTCTCTTGCAACACATCAAACACCTATGGGCCCAACTCGGCACAGCCCCCCGGACAGCAGGAGGAGGCCCCTTCGGACCTGGGGGACAGGGCAGGATTTCATTGATTGGCAGGGGGAGCTCTGTACTGCACACACATGTGCACGCCCCAGATAAGGGGGCCGCTCACATGTTCCCAGCGCACCCGTCATGCTGCTACTGCCAGAAATGACAGGGGTGGGCCTGCCCCTGCTGGCGTGTGAAGGTGCGTGTGAAGTCACACCAATCTGAAGAGCCGGAGGGGGCGGAGCAGCAGCCCCCATCCGCTCCCAGACAAACCCATGTCTGGTTTTGTCCCAGTACCAGAGAGGGAACACAGCTCTCGAAAAGGGACTGTCCAGATAATACTGTCTGAGTGGCCCCTGGCCCCGGTGGGAGGGGGGCCACCCCCAGCCCCAGGTCTGTGCTGGCTGCTAGCTCTTTCATGTGAGCCTTTTCCCTACTTTCCTTTTGACCCTGGCAGTTGCGGTTTGGGAGCATTTGGTACCAGAATCAAAAGCAGGTGGGACGTCACCTGGTGCCACTTTCCACCCAAACCCACCGCCAGGCCCAGCCCACTCTGAGCTCAGGGCGAGCTGTGCCCAGGGCAGGCTGGTTCTCATGCCTTCCTGGCATCGACTCTGGACTCAATCACCAGAGTCTCAGGAGTTCAGTGCAGGCACCAAGCCTGCCAGCCACAGGCTTCTCCCCTGGATGTTTAGCTGTGCAGGCTGCAGATTGATGCGTGAACCAGCTGAGCCCCACAGCGTACAGCAAACAAACATCACGGGAAAGCGCTTTCTCTCCATTTATTCTCAGTCTTCCCTCTACTCCTAGAGCTCATGCAGTCTGTGGAGCTGCAGAGAGGGGAATGGGGCTCCTGGTGGGCTGAGCATTCCCAGAAGCTCATTAAGGAAAGATGCTTTAGTCCTAATAAGGAAATCGTTTTCCTTCCCTGCTCCCACAGCGAAGGTTAAGAACTCCCAAGAAATCCCTGAACAGTGCTGGGAGGGTTTCACCAATTGCTGATTAAAGCTAATTTACTGCATTATAAAGGGGGAGGGGGGGCTGGCTTCCAGTGGGAGACGTTAAAAGAGAAAACAGTTTATTTTCTGTGCACCCTTTCCTTGCAATTTAGAAAACTCTATTTCACACCATTGTGTTATTGTGTCATCTGATAAAACCACTGACAATTTTTATCAACAAAATTAGGAAGTAGTGAACTATAAAATTGCTAATTATTTTCTAG